TTATTATCGATTGTCATTCCTCAGCCGTCTTTGACGCCGTTTTTTTTTCAATCGAATCAGTATTTTTACGTTGGTCAGACATTACTTGTGCAAAAATGTTTATACCCTATAAGTTCCTCTAAATAAAAAAGCTCTTACAATTTAGCACACATAATTTCCCTTTGTTTCGAAAATTTACACGATTCAAAGCTTCAAATTACCTTTAAATTTCTCGAAATTATTTTAATACTACTATCGCTAAACACGCGAATGTTCATTTGTATATGACGGAAAAATAATAATTTTAAAGTAGGAAGTTCCTATCTCCCCAATAGGAGCGACCGACTAATTTATTTTTTCCATTACGTTTTGCATGTATGCAAAAATTAAATAACAAGGCTTGATTCGTCTATTGTTCGCTAGGTTTTTAGTTTTGAACAGCGGTATAACAGAACGTTAAGCTTACCTATTGCCGAAATTGCTTTTTAACTAGTTAAATTGGTACCTAAATTATTTAATATTTAATAGCCCCCAAATACAAGTATGATCGAAAAAATATGACGTCAACTTGGCTTGGAATTGACGATCGTTGTCATTCACTACACAATTTTACATCTAAATTGACAGCGATCTTCATTTTAAAACCAACTCTGACGCAGTTTTTGTCAATCGTATGGTGTATGATATATAAAATAGTCTAAAAAATAGGAGGTGGTATGTTTTTAAGACAAAAAGTTTATACAGGGTCCGGTATAATATGTGCTAGAATAAAAAACCTGAGAATTTTGTTTGAATGCGAACCTAAGGTATGTACGAGGATGTATTTCGAGAAAATATTTTAACTTCTATAGATTCGCTCAAAAAAGTGTAAGTGGATTGGGATTATTTTTTTTTAAATAGAACACCCTGTAAATTATTGCATTTTTGGCTTCCTTTCAGATCACTTTACATAATCCTAAGATATGAGTAAATATATTTCAATAGTTATATTATTATATAATTAGTTATATAGATATAGATATTAATAAAGAAATAAAAAAAATATATTTTTCAATCTTCCTTAAAAAATTATTTACCTATACAAGAACTGTCCTGAAACCAAAACTATATTAGGTATTTACTTGAGATGGTCTATAGTTACTCTGCTATAAATATCTTAATCTTAAATTTTACAGGGTGTTCAAAATTCTAAGCCAAACTTTCTAAAATATATATTTTTTTTGTTTCTTTAATCGAACACCTTATATATTATTTTTTCAATAGATGGAGAATTAAAAAATGAACATTTTTTGTATTCAGAGTATGTCAAATTTTTTAACGGTTTTGCAGATATTGGCGGTTTTATGTTTCATATGGCATTTTTCAGAATAAACTTCTATCAAAGCCACCCAATGATTTTTCTCTCGTATTTTACCGTTGAAAGAGCCATACGAAATAATATTGCGTGTATCTGCGAAACCATGAAAAATTTTAAAATACTTTAAATACAAAAAATGTTCATTTTTTAATTCTTCATCTAATAAAAAAATAATATACAGGGTGCTCCATTTAAAAAAGAAACAAAGAAAAATTATTTTATATTTTAGTAAGTTTGGCATAGAATTTTGAACACCCTATAAGATTTAAGATTACGATATTTATAGCAAAGTAGGTATAGACCATCTAAAGTAAATACCTAACATAGTTTTGATTTCAGGACAATTCTTGTATTTTGTAATTTTAACGAAAGTTGAAAAATATAATTTTTTATTTATTTATTAATATCTCTGAAAATATCGCAATATATTTACTTATATCTTAGGATCGCGCAAAGTGATCTAAAAGGAAGCCAAAATACAATAATATACTGAGTGTTTCTTTTAAATAAATTATCCCGATTCACTCACACATTTTTTTTTTGTGCCACCCTGTAGAAGTTAAAATATTTTCTTGAAATACATCCTAGCACATACTTTTTTTTTCTTTAGGAACAAAATTTCCAATTTTTCTATTCTAGGACTTACAGATGCCCGACGCACTATTGCCGTACCCTGTATAGTATACATTCGCCTCTACAGGGTGGGTCAAATTCGACGCTTTTAAATGGAAACACCCTTTTCTATAGGAGATAAACAAAAAGTAATATCGGTGTCTGGAGCTCAATTTATGTCAAAAACATGATGGTGAAAACCGCATATCGATATCTGTTACCGTTTCGGAGTTACGGGGCGTTTTTCAAAAATATGTATTTTTAACAAATCGCTGTAACTTTTTTGCTATGGAAAATTTTGTATTTTTATGAAAACATTTCCAAAGCACCTTTTTACGTAGAATTTAATGGTTTAAGTATAATTTTTTTAAAATTAATAATTTAAGAATTATCAACAGAAAATTTGATTTTCTATATGAGACACCCTGTATATTTTTAATTTATTGAAAAGAATTTAAAATTACCTTTCCAAAAATATAACACACTTGATATTTTGCTCCATTCCTCTTCGAGAGATAGAGTATACAAAAATTCGCCCCCTTTAAATAAGTAGGCTTTGAATGGCACCGGCTGTAATGCAAAAAAATTTTAGCATTGAGCATCAATTAAAACGAAAATAATATTTGCTATGAGAGATGCATAATTTTATAACAATTTAAAATATATTTAACCAACATCAACACATTTAAACTATATCTGATAACAATAAAAATAAATAGCAAACCAAGACTTGAGATTTTGCTGTAGGTGTTCGACCGTCTTCTGTTATATCGACCATCTTCTGTTATGGACAGTAGGGGTCGTTTCTGAACATTTCTCGCGGAATTCATTAACTCAGTGGGGGTGAAAGATACCCTCTCATAACTGCTAAGTATTTCTAATTCTTGTCTAGATTATACGGAAGAATAAGGGACCTTTATTCTTCCGCAAATATATCCATAGGATTAGATCCATGGGCACTAAGTCAGGTGGTCACGTCCAACGGCTGGGATCTTGGTTAGCTATTCAATTATTCTTGAAATGCTGCTTATTAATGCTGATAACTTCAGCGTTCTGAGGCGGTGCCTCTTCTTGCTGGAAAAATATGTTTTCGAGTTCCATTAAGGGCATATCATCAATAAGGGGTCCAAAGCCTACTAGTTAAGGTGTGGAATATAAGAAAATATCAAGTGTTCTATATTTTTGGAAAGGTAATTTTAAATTCTTTTCGGTTAATTAAAAATATAGAGGATGTCCCAAATAAAAAATCAATTTTTACAACTCTTAAATTATTAATTTTAAAAAAATATACTTATACCATTAAATTCTACGTAAAAGGTGCTTTGAAAATGTTTTCATAGAAATACAAAATTTTCCATAGCAAAAAAGTTACAGCGATTTGTTAAAAATGCACATTTTTGAAAAGCACCCTGTAACTCCCAAACGATAACAGATATTGATGTGCGGTTTTCACCATCATGTTTTTGATGAAAATTGAGCTCCAGACACCGATATTAGTTTCCGTCTATCTGCTATAGAAAAGGGTGTTTCCATTTAAAAGCGTCGAATTTGACCCACCCTGTACACAAGAAAACTGGCATAACTCAAAATTACCGGTTTAACACGAGAGAAGAGTTAAAGTTAAAAAGTTTTTCTTAAAGTTTCTGCAGATGGTTTAATTTTTTTCATTTCAGTCTGGTAATTTGTAAAATATGGAACATTTTTTGGTTTCACCAATTCTATATTTCTGATAAAAATATCATAATATATCAAAATTGATTAAACTGACTGTTTTGAGTTGTGTCACTTTTCACTTGTGTACAGGCAATATACAGAGAGAAATTTGGGCTCTGTTATACTAGTCACAGCTTAAAACTCTCCGTACAAAGGGCTATTAACCTTGGCCCTTAGTGTACTAAAGCCAATTTTCAATTAAGTTTGTGCGGAAATCGAAACAACCGATTGGTTTATAATGTTGATTAGCACGCAAAAACCTTTTAAACTCACTTTCATTTATATGTGTAACGAAATTAACTAAAATTTTCGTTAGTTACTTAGTTTTAAGCGGTCGTGTGTAACTATAAAGATTATGTATGTGTTGTTATAAACGTGGTGTATACATTAATGATCTATTTTTATTTGACTTGTGCCATTGACACACTTCCAGTTAGTGGTTTATTTATAAAATGGATTTTTCGAAATTCTGACCTAAATTTACTTCTCATGACTGAATGTTACAAAAGCTTTCTTTCTTTTTTACTTGTAATGTTTATTCAAGATTTACAAATTACCACAGAGTATCATAATAATAAATATAAAACATACTATTATTCTTTAAAAATAGAATATATTATACCATACGACCGAAAAAAAAGCGTCAGAGGTGGCATAATTATTATACTTTTATACTCTATTTAGAATCTACTTTTTTACTTTTATTTATCGTCTTTATATATATTAGAGCTTACTTCGGGTTTTTTATTACAGATTCTGGTCCTCGAACTCAGATACGCATGCCCAGAAGGAATCATGTGGTAATTTTTTCATCTGCGCATGCGCTGTAGAATTCTATGACGGTTCAAAATCGGTCATAGCAAAATGCCGAACAAAGCTATTAAATAAGTGCAAATATTTTCAGGGGTCATAGATTTCCATCAAAGAAATATATTTAACCTTTACCATTTTCCAAAAAGTCCAAAATCGTTATTTTACTATGAAAATTATTTTTTGCTTAAATTTTGAGAACTGGATTTTTTTCTTAAACTTCATTCAGAACCTCGTAATTAGTGGAACCAAAAGCCTTTTTACCAAAAGACATTTCCTGGGGTAGAAATATATCACCTCTAAAAATATTTGTTTAAGGCTCACCCTGTATACTATCGTTGAAGAAAACAAGACAAAATAAACACAGAAACTGAGAATACAGCCTTTCCTATTGGCTGTGCTATTGGTTACTATGATGTCCCTTCTTTCTTTAATGTATAAATAATAAATATTAATAATATTTGACTACTTCTTTAATATTTTTATTAAATATTGTATACCTTTATGTAACATCTTTTGTATTTGGTAGATTTGTGAAGAGACTTTGTCAGCTCACACCAAGCGCCTTGCCGAATTGAGAGACCTGGTTTCTGACATCGCCAGTGCCGTCGGGTTAGACGCCAAAGCGTTACTCGGAGGTGAAATCGAAGCATTGGGCAAGCGCCTGGAGGATGTCCGTGAGAGTCTCACCACGCTCGCAGATGTCGCCGAAGCCAAAACCAAAACCAAAATCGAGTCAGAGAACCAAATTGTTGGAACCAGAAATTACCTAAATTCTGTACAAAAGGTAAACACTTTTTTAAAAACGTTTACTCGATTTTATATTTTAATGTTTTCAGAGCGTGGATGATATCCAAACTGGAGATTTAGACTCTGATACAGAGGAGAAACTTCAAGCTCTCAGAGAACACTTGATAGCTCTAAGTCAGGCAGAAGGAAAAATCCAAAAAATCAAGGATAAGACTGTCGAAATATCTACCACCACGACGGAGACTTCAGTAATAGAAATCCTTGAACTCTGGCAACAGGTGTTCAGGGAAACCTTCCAGCAGTATCACCGACTGAGCACCAGATTAGTTAAAAACGAAGATGGAGCTGCAGCGCTTAGGTTGTGGCAAGAATACCTCTTCAACGTGCAACAGTTCCTGCAAGGCAGCATTCCCGGTGACTATCAAAGCCTTTCCGAACATCAACACTTATGCCAAGTCCACCAAAACCTTCTCAGCACCCAGCAAAACGTGCTGAGACCCATCGACAAGCAGGACGGTCAATTGGCCAGCGGATTAGTCGAAACTAGTGTCATGGAACAATTCAACTCCTTGACTAATCTACACAACGAGACCCTTAGTCGGATTATTGACAGACATAACGAAGTTCAAAAAAGATTAGAGGCGTGGGAAAAGTACAGAATCGACCAAAGTGCATTGCTGGATTGGTTGAAAAACCTCGAAAAAGAGAGAGAACATATGCAACTCCGTTATCTTCACGTTAGACGCATTCCAAAGCTGATGACACGTATTCAAGGACTTTTAGATAGGATCCCTCAAGGGGAAAAACAGGCAGAAATTTTGCAGAAACAACAGAATCTTCTTTTACAGTTTTGTGACGACGCTTTGGCAACGTCGATCAGAATGGAACACGTCGCTATCAAGCAACGACTGTCGAATCTACAGGCCGGTCTTGACACGTGGAAACAATTTTTGGAACGTATTTCCAGCTTAGTACTAACGCACGAAGACCGCGTTCAAGCCGTTCAAAAGTTATTCGATGGTATTCAAGCCATTATCAATGAATCTCAGTCTCAACTACCATCATCTCATGCTGGCATCAGCGGACGCCTTGAGATGCTTCAAAGAACTCGTGAGCGCTTGGCGTTTGCGGTTAAGGATCTGGAACAACTAGGATTATCTCAAGAACAACTCAAAGAGTGTCTGAGTCCCTCTGACATGAAGACGATTAATCAAAGAATGTGGTTATTGTGGCACCAACACGGCGACCTGGATCACCAGCTGGCAATGCTATGTCACCAACTGGAAGAGAAACTAGGTATAAAGGCAATGTTCGAGACCAGACAAGCCAAGTTCATAGCTTGGGCTGATGAACTAGAGAGCCGATTGGAAAAAGAGACTGCTGAGACTTTAGCTCTTGATCCCAGGGAACTTTTACGAAAGTTAGAGGTGGAATTACAAGCTGAAATGTCGTTGAAAGAAAGAGAATTTGACTGGTTAATCAGAGTAGGCAGAGAGTTAGTTAGTTCGTGCGGAGAAGAGTATGCTGACGTGACAGCAAAACAAATCATCCAAACCAGAACTGACGATGTTCAAAACCGATGGGAGAGGTTAGATAATCTCGGAAAGAGTAAAGCAAATAAGATCCAAGATATAATCCAAACCACCTTACAACTAGAAGAAAGAATTCGACAGATCAGAGCTTGGTTAACGCAAATAGAAAACCAGCTAGCTCAAACCATCGTGTTCGAGTCCTGTACTAAAGATGTTATAGACAGAAAGCTATCTGAACACGATAAGCTAAAGAAATCGATTGAAAATGAAAGCGCGAACATAGGAGAAGTTCTCAACCTTTGCGAACTACTCCTCAGCGACGAAGATATGGTTAAAAGCCACTTTTCAACCGAGAATTTGTCCAATGCCGTTCAAAATCTAGAGAAACGATGGAAAATCGTATGTGGCCAGTCTGTTGAACGAAAAAAGAAACTCACCTTTGTCTGGAAGTTGCTTCAGGAAGTGTTGAAGCAGAGCAATGAGCAGGAGTCTTGGTTAACATCTCATGAACAAAAACTTAAAGAATTTGACCGACCTTTATCTAAGTTAGATCGCAATGAAATCCAACAACTGATCTACCAATTAGAGTCCGAGATTAAGGATATCGAGTCACATTTACCTGCTTTCCAAATTTTGGAACAGACTTACTCGAAACTAGCCAGGACGAGCGGCACCGATCCTCAAAACATCCAGGAACTAACGTCGAAAGCTCGAGTGGTTATCGCCAGGTGGCACAACCTGTTACCTAAAGCCCGAACTCTATTAAAAGCTTTGCAAAACGAATTGGCGCCTTTCAAAGAATTCTCTTTGGCTCACGAATCCGCTGTAGTTAACCTGAGTAAGATCGACGGACTATTAACTGAAATCCAACACTTAGAAACATCCGAAAACAGTTCTCCTCAGGAACGACTGAAAAAGTTAGAAGACTTGGAAAACCAGATATCTTTGCAGACTCCTACTTTGGAAAAAGCAGATCAGTTGGGTTTGCAGATCATGAAGAAGAGCAAGAAGGAAGAAATCTCGAATATACAACAGATGATCGACGAATACCAAGTTCTCTGTAAGGAAATTACAGACAGAATAACTATTTTGAAGACTGAAATCATAACAGAAATACGAGAATCGCCTCGAGAGGTCGACGAAAGTGTTCAAGTGGAAACTCTGAAGTTCGAACAGGACAATGCTGTCCAAGTCAACACCTTACCGCCTCAGCTACAGAGGATGACGTCAATCAGCGCCAAAGATGCTTACAAGGTCGAATTAGAAGCGGCTTTAGATGAATGTAGGACTAGTCTTTTCGAACTGGAAGAGTTCGTGAACAAGGAAATTCCCAAGCAAGGATCTTCAGAACTTCCTACCAGCGGAAAGAAGATCGCCAAGATGTCAGCCAAATGCCAGGCTGGTACAGAACTTGTGAGGCACCTTCACGATATGCTGATCAACGAATGTGACGCATCTGACGAGGAAGCTAGCTCAGTGGAAGTCGAAGGTCTCCTGTTGAAGTTTAGCGATCTCCTTGTCAGAGCCAAAGAAAAAGAACAGAAACTGAGGGAATTAAGGTAGGTTTTTTTATCGATGCTAGTCGTAGTAGAAATTAGGTAATCCCGGTGTGGTTTTCTTTATAATATTACTAACGGGTGTTTTTTGTATTTTTCTTTCTGCAGAACTACTGTGCCCGATGCTTATAACTTGTTATGCCAACAGTAAGTAGATCTTTCTTTAGGCTTTAGTTGTCGCCGTTTAGAAAGAACTAGATATTATTAGGTCTGGTATCTATTGCCTAGATATTTCTTAGAAAATTATGCAAATTTTTTATTAACTTATAAACGACAATTACACCATACAAGTTGGATAATTTTAAATTTCTATAAAGGACATTAACATGAAAAATGTAGGCGCTAGTGCAAAAAGTTCAACAATAAAAAAACGGATTTATTATATGCTAGCGTATCATTTTGTTAGTATATTGTAAATGGAATTTAATATAAATTATTATCTGCTAGTTTAATATCTAGTTAGTTCTAGATAGCGTTTATAAGATTATTTATAATTAAATTATTAGGAATGTTTTGCACGTCTAGGATGAGGTGGTGGTTAAATAGCACTTGATAAAAATACTTTTCAATGTTCTATAATGGTCGAGGGGATTTGCCTTTTATTTTTTAGGCTAAATCAATATACAGGGTGGCCCGAACTGTATTCCGGAAATGTATATTCTAAAATGCTTAGTTTCTGAGGTACAGGGTGTAGAAGTTTCATTTTTATTTAGAATTTTTCAAAGTAATTTCTGAAGTAACGTCAGAATTGATAAAAATTGGTGTCTGGGACTTTTTTGACATGAGAAATTTGATTTTGATGTGAATATGACTCTTACTTGTAGAGGACGCCACCTACATATTTTTTAACTGGGTTGAAGAGTAATAACTTTTTGTCCGTATCTGTATAAAACTACTGAGTAAAAAAATCTACATTTACGACGTTTTTTATGTAAAAAAAGGTCTCTTGGTAAAAATCGCTATGAGTAATGGTTCTAGAAATATTTGATATATCTTGAGAACGGTTGCTCGTAGCGATTTTTATCAAGAGATATTTTTTACGTAAAAAGTCACGGAAATATATATTTTTTCACTCAGTAGTTTTATACAGGTACGGACGAAAAATTATTACTTTTCAAAACAGGTAAAACACATGTAAGTGTCTCCCCCTACAAATAAGAGACATATTGATATCAAAATCAAATTTCTCATGTCGAAAAACTCCCAGACACCAATTTTCATCCAAATATTTATGTTACTTTAGAAATTATTTGGAAAAATCGAAATAAAAATAAAGCTTCTACACCCTGTAGCTCCGAAACCAAGCATTTTCGGACATACAGAATTTTATCTGCAGAATATGCTGCTGAAGTTTCCGGAATACAGTTCTGACCACCCTGTATAAAAATAATATGCCCTCAATCTTTCCAAAAAAATCCTGTATGGGTATTTCGCCACTGCACTTTTTAATTTATGGTGAAATACCCATACAGGATTTTTTTGGAAAGATGAATCCGCCACATAGGTATAGACATTTTTTATGCCCTCAATGTTATCTACAGTTTCGGTTTGAATTTCGACCTTGATGTGCGAATTTATTAAAAATTAATTGCTTATTAATAATATAATATTATTATTATAAAACCAAATAATGTACTGATTTTTTTTTAAATGATAAATAATGTATTGAAATAATAAAAACTTTACTACCTAATGTATAGGCAACTAATTTTTAATAAATTCGCACATCAAGGTCGACATTATTTGGTTTTAAAAACTTAAATACGCCTGGATAAATGAAGCAAAAAAAATTGCTATTACCTACATTTTCACGAAATTGTAAACATATATTTCAGGAGCGGTAAGCTATAAACCTTAATCAAATTTACCTTTATTTCAATCGTAGAAACTAAAATATACCGAGTGTGTGTGCAAAAAATATGTGCCATCTCTAGTGGGGGGAGACATAAAAATAAGATGTATTTCTTATATCAATATACTCGTAGGTCCGATCCTGCCTCGTTTCCTAGCTAGAGGGTGTTAAAATCTTAATATTTTTTCGATTTATTATAATTTTCAGTACTTTCAGCTTTTTGAATGAAATTTTAAGGTTAAGAATTACTATAAATGCGACATACTTTAAAGCTAAAAAAGTGTTGACATATTCACCGGGGTTGGCATAAATACCACTATTTTTTTATTTAAAATTGCTGTAGGTTGGTCTAATAGTAATAATAACTAATATAATATTTAAGTATATAATTTATGAATTCTATTTTTATTTTAATTTTATTAATTGTGATTAGTAAAATTGCTTTTATCTCATCAAGGAGGCCGAATTCGTCAAAATATCAAGAGATAACTTTTAATTGGCATTAAATTGCCTACCCAATTTCGCTAACAAAAGAAATAAAAGTCAGAGGCGCACATATTTTTTTCGGAAAAATATTCCATTGATAACCCATATGCACGTCCCTGATGAATATATGGACACCTTTTTAGCATGAAAATATGTAGCACTTATAGTAACTTTTACCTTTACAATTTCATTCGAATCACTAAAAGTACTTGGAAGAAAATTATAATAAATCAAAAGATTATTAAGACTTCAACACCCTGTAGCTATTAAGACTTCAGCACCCTGCACCCAAAACAAATCAGAATTGGACCTATGTTGATACGAAAAATAAATCTTATTTTTAATCTCCCCACACATGGCACATGTTTTTTGAAACACCCTGTATATGACAAAATAAAATGCTGATATTCAGAATGCTAAGTTTATGACAATTTCAATGAGTAAAAACAATGGAATAGGTTCCCTTTGCAAAATGTTCAACATTAGTCTGAAATTAAATTTTAGTCACACTGTAATGCTCATAAATTTTATAGACCATGAAATAAAGTAAAACTAGTAAGTTATATAATCTTCTCCGGAAGAATGGGTCACCGTGTATACGATTTTAATTTTTTCACCCATTTAAGAGTCATTCCTCCCCCAAGAAAACCGGAATTTAAAACAAACTCGCGCTTTATTTAAATTCCACACCTCCTCCTCTTGGACGCGTCGTTCCTATTTATACACACTTCCACACATAATCTATATTTAACCCTTGTTCTTCCCTTCCTCAGCGAGGCCGGAAGAGTACTCTGCCCGCTGTGCACCCGTCGCAACTGGGCCCAGTTGGACAACGACCTGTGGCGATTAGAGAAGTGGCTCCAGGTGGCCGAAGGTATCCAGAAGACGCGTAGGTCTCCCCCGTCCAACATCGAGCAGCTGGAGGACATGATCCAGGACCACCACGAGTTCCTGCTGGATTTGGACAGTCACAAGAGCATCGTGAATTCGCTGAACATTGTCGGGACGCACTTGGCTGACCACACGGAGGACACGGAGAAAGCGGACGAGTTGAGGGGAAGGTTGGGGAAGGACAACAAGAGGTGGGAGAGTATCTGTAGGGCTGCGGCCGCTTGGCAGTTGCAGTTGCAAAGAGCTCTCATGGAGGTAAGATTTTTTCTTAGTACCTGTCTTTGTTTAATCCATAAAATAGCTTCTCATACCAACAGGACTTAATTTAAACGGGCATGCCTTTCTAGATAATGTACTGGGTGGACCATTTTGGTTGTTTCTATAGGGTATCTAGGAAACCGTGAGAAATATTCAAATTTTGATACTGCAGTCTCGGGTTCTTTTTTTTTGAAAAAATCACAATTGCGCAAACGGATCGTGGCTATCTTGATCGGTTTCGAAGCTACGGGGGGATTCTAAAATTTTGTACTTTTTGAAGATATTCGATAGTTTATTTATTTCAACAACTACGCAAAAATGAATTAAACATTCTAAAGACACTTTTCTGTGTAGAATGCAGTGGCGTAGTCAAACTTTTTTCGAAAAAAATATTTTTTTAGATATTAACTATACTTATGTTTTTTTAAATACAACCCCCTGTATATTTTTAAATTTCCTGATTCAGTTTGGTAAGGGCTTCTCGAAAATATATAACACTATATATTTATTTAGTAAAAGTATAGTTAATATCTAAAAAAATATTTTTTTCGAAAAAAGTCTGACTACGCCACTGCATTCTACACAGGAATGTGCCTTTAGAATGTATAATTCATTTTTGCGTAGTTGGCTGATTGTAGTTGCTATCGAACATCTTCAAAAAGTACAAAATTTGAGAATCCCCCTGTAGCTTCGAAACCGTTCAAGATAGCCACGATCCGTTTGCGGCATCGTGTTTTTTTCAAAAAAAGAACCCGAGACTGCAGTATCAAAATTTGAATATTTCTTACGCGGTTTTCTAGATACCCTATAGAAACAACCAAGATAGTCCACCCTGTACCCGAAGACAGGGAGTCGAACGCTCATACTGATGTCACCCGACACAAGTTTGATAGTCAGTTTCAAACGTTTTAAACCTCAAAACGAGACAATGGATTTATAATTTCAGTTTTCCATGATTCATCACACAAAGATTAAAGAACTTCTAGCGATTATCTCTTAACAATGATTGTTAAATGTTCTTCCCAAGTAGCATTTTTGGACACATTTTAGGTAGTATTTCTAATTAATTGTGTCTTGTTTCTTGACACAAAATGGAAACGGTATGCCACAAATAGAAAACATTTTCGAAACCTATATATTTTATATGGCTCTATTATATGTGTTTCCAATGTGGTGACACTAGGCGTTTCCTGAAATGTTTCGATGCGGAATCAAAACTTTTAGAGGAAATGTTTCGAAAGATTTTCTGCAATTTGTGTCCAAGATGTTCCCGTTTTCAGCAGCCACTGTTTCTAAATGTCAAGAAACAAAATACCAAACTAAAATAGTCTGTCTGTGTGTGGATTTCAAAATGAAAACAACCATCAACAATGTCATCCTCCGCCATAATTTGTTTGCTTTATTCAGCAGCCACTGTTTCTAAATGTCAAGAAACAAAATACCAAACTAAAATAGTCTGTCTGTGTGTGGATTTCAAAATGAAAACAACCATCAACAATGTCATCCTCCGCCATAATTTGTTTGCTTTAAAATCTTTGTTTTTAGGTTTTCTCGCACAAAAAATGTCTGGCAAAAGCAAATTCATCGTTTAATTTAATAATGTACTCTTATATTTTTAATGCCCCTTCTATATATCATTATTTGTTGCTACAAAATATTTTTGTCTGAAATATAGATTTGTATTTTTATTTCTATATCATGGTTCTGAAAATAAAAATACATAAATCAATGTAAGTAGAACGCGTTCTTTTGAATTTAAAGACTCAACAGCCGATATAAACATATATTTTTAGTTAAAAACGCTATCACTAGCCAACATGGCGGAATTTAATTAATTATTTGGAGTCGGACACAAAGCATCTACATTATATAATATTTGTGTCTAAAAAGAGAGAAACTCGTGTTTCGAAAACGAATTGACAATAAATGGAAACCTTGTTTCCAAAATTTTTCGATGTAGCGCTATCTGTGTAGAAATTTCGAACTAGTCTCCTGTCAACAATGCCAATGAAAACTTGTGGTCAAAAGAATTAAAACATTTTTGTTTACTTATTATAACACAATTAAAGCATATAAAAACATGTATTCCATTGTGGAAAAAAGAGAAAAAAACGTTTGCTGGTGACATTTTTCTTCGGTCTCCTGTTGGGTATGGGTAGTGGCTGTTATTACATTTATTCCTAAAACAAATCATCTCTGTAATGCGTATAATAAATAATTATAAAATCGCATAAGAAAAATATCTGTGTTTATACTCACCATATGCCCCTAATTCTGCTTTTTTAATTATAGTACTATAAAAACTTCAAGAATAATAAAACACTAAATCACCACAATACACCAAAACACTTTTACTTTTACACTGGACGCGCGATTCGCTAACCATGTTAGCATCATCAGCAGATGATTATAAACTGATGATGATGCTAACATGGTTAGCTAAACGCGCGTTCAGTGTAAAAGTAAAAGTGTTTTGGTGTATTGTGGTGATTTAGTGTTTTATTTTTCTGTGTAACACCAAAGGTTCCAACCCTCAACTGTAAACTTCAAGAATGCTTAATTGCAAAAAGTACAGAACAAAATCAAAACAATAAAGTAAGGTTATGTTTTCACACATGACAGAATATCAAGTAAATTATGGAAACTTTTCAGGCACAAAACGGGTACGAAATCTGTAAATCTGAGCCACATGTGTTTCTTAAAAGTTTCGAAAAATTTGTGACACTAAGATCTTTATTGTTATAGCTTATGTAGCGAAACCATATTTTGGTAAAATGTTTCGAAATAAAAACCGATTTATGTTACGAAACATATGTATCAAAAATGTGACGAAATTGTTTCGCAATTTTTCTCAGCACAGATTAAGTTTCGATTTTGTGTCTAAAAATGCTACTTGGGTTAAAAAAATTACTGAATGTGAGTTTTCAGTTATTTTATTTCAGTGATTGTTTTTTACACCATTTGACCCTATCTGATTCATAACAAATAACCTTCTTCCTTACAGAACCAACAATTCCGCGCCATCATCTCCGAACTGTGCACCTGGCTCGAGAGGAACGAGCGCAAAATCCGCGCCTCCGAACCTGTGGACCTCACAGCGCCTCGCGACACCATCGAGGCCAAGTTCCAGAACTTCCTCGAGCTGCGCGCCGAGCTGGAACGGTGCGAACCACGCGTCCTCAGCCTGCAAGAGGCGGCCAATCAGCTGCTGCGCGAAGAGGCCGCTCCCGAAGGCTCGGAGGCCGTGCACAGGCGGCTCACCGACCTCCGCCTCAAACTGCAATCACTCATCAGGCTGACGGTGGTGTACACGCTGAAATTGGGCGCGGTGCTGGGCCGAGACCCCAACGAAATCGGTCTGGCCATCGCGGCGGCCAGCCCTAGTAGCAACGCCGCACAGACGATAGGCTATGACGTAAGTTTGCCCAGACGTTGTGCTATACTGTAACACAAGTAATAACTATATATAAATATAGGCTAGAGCTAGTAGGATATAGGAAATGAAATTAGAGTTGTCTAGTCGAAAATAAAGAAACAAAAATGATTATATTAGTCGTCTTGTAAAATTTAGTTGTTAGTAGGGATGGGGTGAGGCTTGAAAATGTATCGATATATACTTGTAAACGAAGTATCGAAAACAAATATCGATAGTTAATTACTGAAATTTAAATAAATAACATTTACTTATAGAATATTCATTGAATTATAGACATATTCTTTGAATATTGTCATATTATTCTCTTAAAAATGTTTATTTTTTAAGCAAAACGCATGTCAGCTTTTAAATTCGGAATACTTTTTTTAGCTGATTATGTTACATTCTTAAAATATCATACGATAGAAAAAATACGGCTTCAGTGATGGCTTGGAAATGAAGATCGCTGTCATTTTGTATGTAAAACTATATGGAGAATGTCATCGATGGTCTTTTCCAAGCCAGCCAACGAGACGCCGTTTTTTTTTTCGATTATACAGTATTGTATTGATTAATTTTTACCGTGTGATCTGGATTAAAACGACGCGCGATGTCATAGTAGGAATATAAATAACATTTTAGTTATACAGAGCTTTACTATGACTATCACTAAAGCTTTTAACAGTGTCAGCTGAGAGTGAGTTATTGGAAGTTATTTTATATGATAAATATACAAACTATACAGGGTGCTACAAATTCGAGGTACGAGCATTGGTATCTCGGTAACCGTAATAGATACGAAAATAGTTAAATTGGGGCAGTTGCCGCTTTGGGATGTTCACCAAGATGCCATCAAAAAGTTTTAAAAATTTCATTAATTTGCTGAGTTTTTCGAAAAAACGGATTTTTTTTAAAATCGATTTTATTTTTTTCCTGTATTGTTACTTTTAGAAAAGCAAAAAACTAATTGCACGTATCAATAGAGAGCTCAGTGTGGCTTATCATTGTACTTAGGCGACCGAGTTTTTTCCAAACCTGATATAAAAGTGCAGGTCCGTATTTAAAAAAAATTAAGTTGGCCTCTGTATCTCACAAATTATCAGCTAATTTGAAAATATAAAAAAAATATATAAAATATAAAATATTAGATAGCCCTAATAAAGTGGCTATGAGAATGTGGAATTAGTTTTTGCTTTTCTAAAAAGTAACGACAGGAAAATAATAAAATTAATTTTCAAAAATGTGTTTTTTCCAAAAAACTCAGCAATTCTTGAAATTTTTAAAACTTTTTTGATGGCATTCTGGTGAACATCCCAAGACGGCAACATTGCCCCAATTTAACTATCTTCGTATCTGTTACGGTTTCCGAGATACCAATGCTCGTACCCCGATTTGGTTAGTTTTTCTGTTTCAAAACTATATACAGGGTATATAGTTTTGAAACAGAAAAACTAGTATTTCAGAAACTTCTCATATTTTAGTTTTAATGTTTGACATGAGTTTTCTAATAGATCACTAACAGCTGTCATTTTCACTGTAAAAAACTTTGGCGATAGATATAGTAAAGTTCTAAATGAAATTTAGTTTCTAAGCCTACCTTGACAGCTTTTTTATTAGATCATACTTTATTTTTATTTATAAATCTTTATAAAGAATGAATATAAGATTTTAAGTTTGCATGCACGTTAGTATGGCAGTTTCAAAAGCAGAAATCCATATAGTTTGAGTAGTTTTTTCTGTGTTTTAATATATTAATATAGTAAATGCCTGATATATTATTACACAAACTGTAACAATTTATAAAATAAAAAACGTTTTTATTATTTTACAACATTAAAATGTCATCCCTTAAGTAGAAAAAAAATTATATAACAATTTTTTTCACTATATTTATGGAAATATTCGAAAATATACCTAGTTTATCAACTATATCGATATATTTTGATGTATACAGCTAAATCGTTGCCATCCCTAGTTGTTAAGCTTGTGGTTTGGTTGGTTGGTTTCCATTTTAAGTTATTGTAGCTAAAAAGTTCGCCATTATATGTGCCATTTTTGTTTTCCTAAAAAATGTATATGTGTAATGGAAAGTGTAAGGTTTATTCCGTTAACTTCTCAAAAAAAAATAATTTTTATGTGTTAACGGAGAAAACCACCCCGAGCTGCTCATGTAGAGGGTAAATTTTTTGTTGTTTTTTTTTACTTTGTTGTTTCTAAAAGCACGTTATGAAAACTCTTTTTTTTTAATTGTAATTTGACTGAGAAGCACTGTTTTTACATTTCTTTGCATTTGGACAGCTTTTGGACCGACCTGAAGGGGACGAGACAACCGCAGCGGCACCCGGCGATTCAGACATCAAGTAAATATTATTTTTATTTTATTTTTCTTCGTTTCGAACTTTGATCATCATTCGTTATAATCATCGTTTTTGTGAAAAGTCATTTCATTTTTTTTTGAATCGTACATATTTCATATAATATATGATTTTTTTCATGGTTTTGCCACTTAAATCTAAATAATTCAAAATTAAATACAAGGTGACTCTATTTGAGAAGATATGACAGTAGTATATATTGTTTTATTAGCAGTAAAAATGACACTTTTTGTGGTTTGACATACAGCCGAGGCACAAAAAGTTATTTGTACTCCGAATAGAGCATGCTATTTTTTTTCAAACGCCACAAGTAATTTTTTTTTCAAACGTCACAAAAGTATTAGTTTTTGCAACGTTAACAATACAAAAAAAATAATTTTAACGCCTAAGCATAAAAGTAAAGCACTTTTACGCCTAAGCACAAAAGTACGAAAATATATTATTAAACTGACATAAAGTGTCAAATTCAATGAGCGTAACCATAGTTTCTCGATATACAGGGTGTCCCAGAAATAAGTGCAAGTATTTTAAGAGGTGGTAGATCTCGATAAAAGAAACATATTTTCTCTTTATTGTTTTTCAAATAAGTCCAAAATAACGAAGTTATTTTACTTTGAAAATTTCCAAAAAAAAATATTTTTTGCTAAAATTTTGAGAACCACTGGATCTTTTCTGGATATTCTTTCTTGTAAATTTAATCAACTACCTATGTTGCCATATTATCAAGAAATTATGTTTTTAACTAAAAACTAAAAACAATCCAAAATTTTTTTCAAAATATTCCGAATTTTCAAAATGTTGTTTTCGCGAAAAAAACCTCATAGGTGTGTTTCTGGGGTTGAACTATAAGTACTACCAGTTAAAATACTTGCACTTATTTCTGGGACACCTTCTATAATTGCACTAGTTGAAGCCTGACGCATCCGCCACGACATCAGAAAATTTTTTTTTTTATTTTTTTTAATTAAATGAAAAACAAAAAATCCGGCGACGACAGTTTTTATAAGAGCCAATTAGCTATCTTTTAGTAAAAAAAGTAACTTTCTAGAGCAAGTCGTTACATCAGTAGAGACGACACAGATAAACATTAGCATTTTATATATGTAGGTACAAGGTATTACGTTGTCTGTGGTATTACTTTTAAATATTTTTATATTATTTGGAACGTTTGAAATTGTTTAAAAAATTATTCGTAGCGTTTGAAAAAAAAAGATCATGTTCTATTCGGAGTGTATGTCAAAAGTACAGCCACAAAAAGTGTCATTTTTAGTCATAATAAAATAATATACTATTTTATTCATTTCTATTGAAATTAACGATGTAAATTAATTCATTACATTTCTCTTGAAAGTAAAATGTATTTTTGTTAAGGCGGACTCTCACGATTCGTGTACTTGTACAAACATTTGTTGTTGGCATATACTTGCCATGTCGTGTGTGCGGTTTACTTGTGCATTTATTTGTCACTCGTCGCGCCGCGTAACATGTTTGCTGCAAAAAAATGTTGTTTACAAAGATGCCAAGCCTGCCCAGTTCGCAAATATTGGCGTACTTGCCAAGTACACGAGTCGTTAGAATCCGCCTTCAGATTTAAGTGGCAAAAAATACAATAAAAACTAATTAATTTAAAGTTATTTGGTTATTGCAAGATATTCGAATTTATTTAAACAATTACATATACAAGAGAGGATTTTTGGGTCTATTATTTAAAAAAAAAATATTGGTAAAATTTGTCAGGGAGGAGTTCTAGAGATCACATCCAAAAAAATGGAGAAAATACAATTTGACAGTTGTGTCTGTCATTTTGAATTTTAATTCACAGTTAAATTGTATTTTCTGTCAATTTTTGGATGTCAAAATCTTTCCTGAATCATTGGATAGACTATACATTGATTCCTATCAATTTTGAGACATTTAAACATTGCCAAAAATTAATATCAAGAATTCTTGATAATATATCTGTCCAATGAGTCAGGGAAGAATTCAAGAACAGACGATCAAAAAATGACAGAAAATACCGTTTACCCGTGTTTTAAAACGACAGACACAACTGTCACTGTCATGGGTGACCTCGTTGGACAGATTTCTGTTGTTAACACTTCAGAATATCGCTATACCGGGTACATCATCAAAAGTGGCTCACCCCTAACTTTTTTTATTTTTTCAGATAACAAAACGAGATTTGGCATGTTAGTATATGACATAAATTAGGATTGATTGACGTATTCATTTGTTTTTGGTCACTTCCTGTTGCACCGGAAATGACTACAACTTTTGATTTTTAAATGGCACCCTCAGTATATTTTTTCTTCATTCAATATAAAATAACATTCTGAATAGAATGACTTATCATATGTCATTTTTTTTACATTTTCGCTTAAAAACAAATCGTATTTTAAATTTCAATCTAGAGGGCCATGGCTGCGATAAAAACACCATTTTTTAATTAAGAAAGCTTGGAAAAATAGATTTGATCATCTAATGTTTTTCGTGTATTGTTCTGCCCAGTTAAAAGATATCCAAATCGTATTTTTAATAATATCTCATTTTTTTCTAATGGAACGAGGATGACTCATTAGCATATTTAGAAAAAAACATTTTTTCCGAATAATTTGGTACCACACGATTCGATACCACACATTCGATTCGTTTGGTACCACATATTTCGAGTAGTTACAATTTCAAATAACGATATGCGAAAATGTCAAAAGTTGACATATGATTATGTCATTCTATTCAGAGTGTCATTTTCTGTCAAATAAAGTAAAAAAATACAGGGGGTGTCATTTAACAATCAAAAGTTGTAGTAATTTCCGGTAAAACAGGAAGTGTAAAAAGTGGTAAAACCAAAAACAATTGAATACGTCAATCAATCCTAATTTTTGTCATATACTAAAATACCAAATCTCGTTTTGTTATCTGGAAAAATAAAAAAGTTATAGAGGTGACCCACTATTGAGACGTACCCGGTATATAATTTCAAATTAAGAAATAGGCATTCTATAGGTTAATGTCCGTTGTTTGGTATGTATAATTCCGTTTTTAGAATCATCCGCCTAATTTTCTTGAAGAAAATATAATTTTTAAAGCTTCTTATAATCACCTAATTATCTAGAGCATGTAGAATCACAGTTAAATTTTGATAAACACCGATATTAAAAAGCATGGCACTTTTATTATTATAAACAAATACCCTGATGCTTTAATTTACAAGTGAAGAGTTCTTTCGGTCTATAAGGTAAAAGGTTATTTTCTATAACTGGGATTATGGTGCCTCTCATATGTCATCAATTTTAATCATTGTCGATTCTACAATTATTTATTTTATTTACCTAGTAAGTCGTAGGCAAATTACTTCCTTTTGAAACCTTTTTCTCGGCCTATTAAATGAAATGAATATACCGTGTGTTTAATTTATCGTTCAGAATATCTATACGAGTACAACTCAGGAACGCTCCTATGAAAAATACAGGCTGTTTGGTAATTAGTCTAAAAAAATTAGGGTGTGATCTATTTTTTTTTATTCAAAAAAGTTTACATGAACGGGTCTAAAGTATCATACGATCGAAAAAAAAAACGACGTCGGTGATGGCTATGAAATGATGATCGCTGTCATTTTATATGGAAAATTATATAGGGAATGTCATCGATCATCATTTCCAAGCCAACTGGACACCGTCTTTTTTCGCTTATACGGTACTGCCTTTCTAATCTACAAGGTGTTAAAATTTAAAAAAAATATTCAATTTCTTCCAATATGTCGGAAACTACTTTTTTCTAAGTCTCTTTTTACTCTACTAAAGAATATTTTCCTTAATTTCGTCCAGGTTTAAAAGCAGTTTTTTTTTCATTCCTTAATTCTTTTCTATTTGTACCAGTGGCGTCCGTTCGCACACACCCCTGGGTTATTTCATTAAAATAAATGGTACGCCACTGCTTTTTTGAGAAAATATTTTTCTAAAAGATTGATCTCTTCAATCTTTCTTGTACATATATTAAAAATATTTTTAGAATTGCAGGTTTAGCCCGGGGTTATATTTTTTTTTGTTAAAATGTGACAAAGATATTATAAAAATTGGCACCGAGAGGCACGTATAGCCGCCCATACTAAAATATGTTAATATCTCGAAAACTGCGACTTTGACTGATTTTGATGTTATTACAAATTTCTTACCAACCCCCCACCCCCACCAAAAACTAATGGCCAGATTCTCGGGTGCCACAGTATTTTTGTGCCAAATTTGGTTAAAATCGGTTCAGCGGTTTTTGAGTTATCGTTGTCTTTGACTCGTGTTAGACTGACAGACAGACAGACAAACACCATGAAAATATTTTGTATTTAGGTCATTTATGATCCAAATAACTCATTTTGAGTGAAATTAAAAAAACTTTTTTTTGCCGATTCTAATAGCCTATTGGTATGGTCGGCTAAAAAGTATAATATATAAACAAAAAATTAATTTTAGATTTTAAAAAAGTTGCTTTGCAAAAATGAAAAAAATATCGCAAATTTTAAAACTGTTTTAAATAATACAAAAATGTTTCTGCTATGCCTTAAATTAACTCCGCCGCTGCCTGATATGAATAAAATACATTTTCGTCTTTTTTTGTGCAAAAAGTAAAAAACTATGCAAAATGTATAAGTAACGTAGGGGTGGCAACAATGCAGACCTCCGATACACAGAGTCTACAATGTTGCCACTCTGTATCGAGAGTGTCAATGGATGAACCTGCAGTACTAAAAAGTTTTTTAAAATCTTCCTGAAAATGTCAAAAAAATCAACAGTTTCAACATTATTTTTAAAAGAAACTCATGAGCGCGTTCCTGGGTTAGCACTAAATACAATATGATAGAAAAAACGGCGTCAGCGATGGCTATGGAATGAAGATCGCTGACGTTTTATATGTAAAATTACGAGTATATGGAGAATGTCGTTGATGTTCATTTCCAAGCCAACTGGACGCCGTTTTTTTTTTCGATCATACAGTACTCGCACTTAGTATTTAAGAGATGCTCTGTATATTTTGTATTTCTTTCGGTTGGATTTAATTCTTCTAAGATTTAATTTGCCTACCCCTTTTGCATACTTATAAGTTCATACATTCATAAGGGCTATACCAAACATTTTTTCTGTACCTATCCAAAAAAGTACCTAAACCATCTTTCTTCTTTTCGTTACAGTGGTACTATCGATGACTCCCAAATAAACACATCGGTTCTGCGCAGAGGATGCCGATTCTTGGGTAGGGTAGCCAGGGCCTCCCTACCGATCCAAGCCCTGATGCTGCTGATGTTAGGCGCCGCGTCCCTGGTACCCTACTCCGAAGACGATTACGCCTGTTCCATAGTGAACTCTATCACGAACAGTCTGACGCCAACCCTGAGGTACAATGACGGACCTCCACCCATATAGATTCCAGTTTTTTTTTCGTCCAAAAAAAGACCCGTCTAGATTAGGTTCTAAAAATTCATTCCATGAAATTTATGTTCCCTTTTTTATATTGTTAACTGAAAGAAAACACACACTAGTTTGACTTAGGTTGTTATTTTTTTCTAGAATTTTATATTTTTGTTACTTAAAACAGAGCGGAATAATATACTTTTGATTTTTTTATACGATGTGATTTTGTAAATACTTTTGTGACTTAGGTAGGGACAACGTTTGATCTGGCAGCTTTAAATAGTTTATAAACTGTGTTAACTTGCCTACTTTTTGTTATGAGTTAAGCTCGAACGAGCTATACATAGTGGGCACCTACTAGGATATAGTTTTTATAACCATATAAAATTGTATATTATCTTATCTGTATATTGGGATGGACGTGCAGAGCATATTTGCATAATCTTATATTATAAATTGTTGATTTATATCATGGTTGTGCAAATTTAACCTGAAAATTGAATAGAAATCGATTTTCTCGTGGATAAAACAAAGTGTACAGGAGCGGATCTCTCCACTGCTTTTGTTCACTTATGTTTTTTTTTAAATAAAATAAAAATAAAACCTAAAATAAAAAGCTCTCCATTTTTGTTTTAGGTTATGTAAAATATAACACTACTCAAATTTTACAACTCAATTAAATTTCTACACCAAAAAAAGTCAACTCTCCAGACTTTTTTGGCGAAATAATATTAAACAAACGTGCCAACTATATCTCTCTCCAAAGTTGCGCGTTTTCGTTAAATATTCTAAAATAAAAATCTCCCGTTTTATTTTTGAATTGTCCCTGTAGCAAAATTAATTGAGTTGTAAAACGTATCAAATATATCTACCGATTATTTTCATTGTTGCTTGTTAAAATATATTTTATATTATCAGTAATTTTATATGTGGCCTACGCGCACTTTTCATTTTTTTTTGGAGCTATTCACTTTTGTGTATTCTGAACTAACCAATTATATGCTTTGTTAATTTTTTTTTAATTTATTTAGGAAGTTGAAGTTACTTAAATACAGGATTGTTTTTCTTAAATATCGTATCCCCTTAGTTATATATCCCTTATTTATAAATATATACTTAAAAATAAAGTGTTTGTTTTTTATTTACCTACCTACTTAATTTTACTACTACTACTACTACTACTACTGTCATTACTCGCTGACGAGTATTTGACACGCATCAGAACATGGTTACGCAAGGCGTTTTCTTTCATGAACTTTTTGATGTCAATATGACTCCTATTTGTAGTTTGCGCACGCTTAATTCTAACCTACAAATATTTTCAGTTTGGATTTAATTTATTTTATAATTTCACATAAGTAAAATGTATAATATAGTAGGCAACGAATAAATAAATATACTATAAATAGTAAAATTACTATAAGCAATCGTAAAAGTTAACTTTTATCCAGCCTCATCGTACTGCGCATGAGCAAATATATATTTCTTATTTTATTTTATTTGACTGTATGAACGCACACAAATAAGAATTCCTTATTTCTTATTTTATTTTATTCTTATTTTATTTTATTTGGCTGTATGAACCCACCATAAGGAAGGAGCCTATCAAAAATCTTAGGTCCACCGCGATGGGACTCAAATATGGCCGACTAAAATTCCGGTTTATCAGTGCCGTTCTAATTTTATTTAAAAAATGTAAAACTATGATGTAGGATAGACGTGGGGTAGACTCAATATTTTTTTTTATATTACGTTGTGAATAAATGTTGGTAGTAATTAAAATTGTTATAAAAACATATTATTATAATAAAAATAGATAAGTTTTAATAATTATTTATTAACACAAACATCCAATACGCTACTGAAGCAGGTAAGTCAAATTGACGTATCTAAATTCTTTGACATCTAATCTTTGACAAGTGGTAAATAAAAGCAAAAATGCAAGAAAAAATATTTAATTAGTTAATTTAAGTGAATTTCATAAATGATCGGTTTACTACACGTATGTATATTATATAGACACTTACTAGCGAAAAGTTGTTCCATTATTTCACTCGATTTTTGCCGAGATCTACCGCACGCTACACAACCAACTATTTTAGAGTCATTTTCGATAAATCGCGATTGTGTCACTGTTAATTCAAGTTTTAAGTTCTGCCACATAATTTCCATCTAGATTTACCATCTTTATACAACTATCAGTAGTAGAATAAATAATAAATAACATAAAATAAGCTCCGTAAAGACTGACAAATCCACAAAATTTCAAATCAAATTTAAATGTGTCAAATGAATCGTTAAACAGAACTGTCAAGGATCCCCATCCTTGAGTCCTTTTTCCACCCACCATGCATGCTATGATGAATACATGGATAGCATTATGTTCCTTCCTTAGTCTTCTTATTCAAAGGTTTTAACTGTTTTGAAGAGTAATAACTTTTCGTCCGTACCTGTATAAAACTACTGAGTGAAAAAATATACATCTCAGTGACTTTTTACGTAAGAAATATCTCTTTGTAAAAATCGCTCCAAGCAAACATTCTTATGATATTTAGAATGGAAATAGTCAATACGTCATTATTGACAAAAAAATAAACACGTTGAATAGATATTTTTTTGACTGAAATAACAAATTTGGGAATTTTTTATTTTTTAAATTAATCATAATTTTTTCTTCGAAAAAATGATGATGAAACAGTTTTTGTTGAATCATTTCAAATTTATGATTTCAGTCTAATAACTATTTAGCCAATAAGTAATTTATGTCAATGATGACAGCTATTGATAATTTCGATTCCAAATATCTCGAGAACCATTACTCGTAACGACTTTTACCAAGATACCTTTTTGACGTAAAAAACGTCGTAGATGTATATTTTTTACTCAGCAATTTTATACAGGTACGGACGGAAAGTTATTAGTCTTCAAACGGGTAAAAAATATGTAGGTGGCGACCCCTACAAGTAAGAGTCATATTAACGTCAGAATCAAATTTCTCATGTCAAAAAACTTCCAGACACGAATTTTCATCCAAATATTGACGTCACTTCATAAATTATTTGGAAAAAAAAAATAAAACGCGATCTGGCGCTGCCATAGCGGTCGCTAAGAACAACGGCAAACAAAAACAGAAATTATTTTCTCTTGTTAAAGTCAGAATCTTCAAAAATCATAATCTTCAAAATCTAAAACCGCTCTCATTAAAGAAATTCCGAAAAGTGTTTATAGCATCCATTTTCAAAGTAATTATTGCTATCTTGTGAGTTTAATTCAAGTTTTATTTACTCCAACCGGTAATAATTGTGAAAAAAGTGGCATTAAAACTTAAAAGCTGTGCTGTGAACTGTGAACTGCAAAACCATCGTGGATCGTGGCATAACGTCGGTTTCCAATGTTTCATAGGTATTTCATTACATGCGTCCTTATATAAAATAAAGTTTCTTGTATGCAACACACTGTATTTTATTTATAAAATTAAACGAAAATTATAATAAATTTGAATAAACAATATTTGGCGATATAATTCCGGAAAAGGCCGAACCGCTCCGAAATTTTCAAAAGTTTTGGGTCGCGACCGTTGCAAGAATAGCGCCAAATAGTGTTTACATTGTCCTTATGGGCACTTTCCAGTCTAAACTTGTTTCATTTATCTATGCACGAATTTTCATCCAAATATTGACGTCACTTCATAAATTATTTGGAAAAAATCGAAATAAAAATGAAACTTCTACACCCTGTATCTCCGAAACTAAGCATTTTAGGACATACATTTATACGAACTTTTTTACTTATTTTTATCTGCAGAATATGCTGCAAAATAAAGCACTAAATCACCACAACACACCAAAACCCTTTTACTTTTACACTGGAGGCGCGTTTCGCTAACCATGTTAGCATCATCAGCAGATGATTATAAACTAAAGTTTATAATCAAAGCCAAACGCGCGTCCAGTGTAAAAGTGTTTTGGTGTATTGTGGTGATTTAGTGTTTTATTTTGCTGTGTAACACCAAAGGTTCCAACCCTCAACTGTAATGCAGAATATGCTGCCGAAGTTTCCGGAATACAGTTCGGACCACCCTCTATAAAGCGCTTTAAAGAGTCGGATTTACTAGCTTTGTAAGAGAATTAATTTTACAGGGGTGACCTGGTTTCAAATTTAGAGAATAGAGTCGTTTCTTATTAAATGCCAGGAAGAAACAGAAAGAACTCTTCTTTTAAAGTAAATTTTATTATGGCATTATTCATTTTTTTTTCGGATTCTATACAATAATATAAATAAATTTTATGTCACAAAACCGCCGCAAACTTCACTTATTTAAATTCTTCATTATCCATGGCAGGAATGACTGGACCCTCGTATATACTCCAGGATATTGCCCTTTTCCGCATCCAATGCCCCAAGACACTATGCCAATTTGCGTCCATTTACCATGATTGACCATCAGCGGACCTCCACTGTCACCCTATAATTTTATCATTATATTTACAATATTTTTCTATATTTTTTCCAAATATTACGCTGCAGGAGTCCCTATTTGCTTGCCCGGCACACACCATGTGCTCAACAATCCCTCCAGGGGCGGCAGCACCATACTTTTGTTTACAATCCCTATTTGACCAGATTGGGATGTTTACTTCTTGTAATACGGCTGGTTGTGGACCGCCTAAAATATTATATAAAATATTAGAAAATAGTATTTACAGGGTGTTCTTTAATGTCATGCTAATATTTAAGGGGGTGATTCTTAGACCGGGGGTGATTCTTAGACCTAGGTGATTCTTAGACCTAGAGAAAAACTTCATAAATGCATGCATGTCCAAAACATCTTATTTTCTGAGATACAGGATGGTAAACTTTTTTAAATAAACTCTTTTTCATAATAACTCAGATTTTACTATACCGGGTGCGTCTCAAAAGTAGCTCACCCCTATAAGTTTTTTTATTTTTTCAGTTAAAAAACGAGATTTGGTATGTTAGTATATGACATAAATTAAGATTGATTGCCGTATTCAATGGTTTTCGATCACTTCCTGTTTCACCGGAAATGGCTACAACTTTTGATTTTTAAATGGCACCCTATCGGTATTTTTTTTAACTTTATTCGATAGAAAATAACACTCTAAATAAAATGACATATCGTATGTCAACTTTTGACATTTTCGCATATGGTTTATTTGAAATTATAACTTGCGGTTCGTAAGGACGTAAGTGTGTGGTATCAAATTATTCGTAAAAAACTGCTTTTTTCCAAATGTGCTAATTAGCCACTTTCGTTTAATTTGAAAAAATTGAGATATGATTAAAAATACGATTTGAGCATTTTCTAACTGGCCAGGATAAAACACTAAAAACATTAGATGATCAAATCTATTTTTCCAAGGCTCCTTGATTAAGAATTAATGTTTTTAAGATAGCCCTCTAGATTGAATTTTAAAATACAAATTTTTATTAAGCGAGAATGTCAAAAGTTGACATATGATTTGACATATGAGTTGACATTTTCTATCGAATAAAGTAAAAAAATACCAAGAGTGCCATTTTAAATGGTTAAATCAAACGTTGTAGTCATTTCCGGTGAAACAGGAAGTGACCAAAAACAATTGAATACTTCAATGAATCCTAATTTATGTCATATACTAACTTACCAAATCTCGTTTATTTATCTGAAAAAATAAAAAAGTTATAGGGGCGAGCCACTTTTGAGACGCCCGCCCCCTGTAGATATATTTATGAAACTTGATACACTTCTTTTATTTATTAAAATATTTTTTTTGGTGTACAAAGAATTTTATTTATTTCAACCAGTGCCGTCCATACGGGTTTTTTATTGAATATTTTTGGAGAAAAAGTGATACCACAGATTAAGTACCTATACTATATGTATACAGATAAAAATCTTATCCCTAATTCGTGGTACGAAAATTGTTTTTTATGACGACGTGCAAACGAGTAAAATTTCCTGTGCGCAAAAATAAACTCGCGTAAAATAACAATAAACAGCGTAATAGAGAGATATCGCTGAACCGAATAGCGTGCATGGACGTTAATAAGGCCATGTGTTATTTCCTTTACGGGAGGTGGTATTAACTCTCTTCATTTATAGTTATCGGATCGGAAAGAATTCTGATCGCGTCGCGTCCGCTATTTAAACTTAACCTAACTTTGAATTTAAAACTTTGACATTGTTTTGTTTACTAGGTATTTTAAAACTAAAGGGCTAAAGTGCTTATTTCCAGTGCTTTATTTATCAACGTCTGATAGTGGGTTTAGGGCAACAAGCAACAAATTCTCTTAGAAGGACTAAGTCGTCATCTGCTGTAAACCTAAGACTCTTTATAGGTTCTTTAGTATTGGAAGAGGTGGAATCCATATTTTGGGCCATATTTATTTAATTAAAACTAATCCCAGCTACTTAAATATCAAATTACCTAATAAAACTAAAGCAATAATTCAAAACAATTCAAACAAAACCTAAAATAAAAGATCTCGCCGGCCGGCTCCGGTTGTCAAATACCCGCACATGCCCATTTAAGCAATTTTTAAACGTTATCAGAGGTTATTTAGAAAAAGCGCTTGGTGTAATTGATCCGCAAATTACGTCAGGCGGTAACGTTATTAGCGGGCGTTGCGTTAAAAATTGACTCGCGCATATCGTAACCTGTGTCGTAACCATGATAAGGTACGTGTAAATACTGGATGACGCTATTCGGTTTTCCGATATCTCTCTAATAACTGTGCCGGTCAGGCGCTGTGCACAGTTTTAGAGGCCATAAGTGGGCGGGCTATGTGCGCAAACTAGTCACCTAACTAGTGCCCTATTCCGAAAATTGGAACCACGAAAAACAATAAAGAAAAAACAAAGATTATAATCTGTATAATCTGTGGTGATACACACTGACTCTGACTTGATGAAACATTTTTTATCTCCTGATTTTTTTCGTCTGACGCGTAGTTTTTGCTCAAAAAAATTAAAGTCAGTTTATTTCAGGTTCAAATCGCTGAAAATCTGACGCAGTGACTGATGTGTAGAAATCATTTCTGCAATTGTCATTTTTTCTTAGGATAGATCCAAGAATCACCTCCTTAAATACTAGCATGTCATTAAGGAACACCCTGTATATCCAGACATAATAATACAAACTTTCCCTAATACTGCCCCATCCAATGACGGTTCCTGTAGATCCTGCCAGATCCCTACCGCCTGCTGAGGGCAAGCAAATTGGTCTGATCACATTCGAAAATTGGACTGGACTGTCCAAAGTCAATATAGATATATCGTTGTACAGCGTTCTGGAATCAAATCCCCTGTGTCTCACAACTCGTTTAACTCGTTTTTCTATGTGATTAACTTCTGAGTTAGTCTTGATATTGTGGTCTCCGAGTCTTACAGTCAGCTTGGCCACATCCCATGATGTCATACTAAAATTTTACCAGATAAAATAGTGTATTGTCTTATTAGGAGTAAAAATGACACATTTTGTGGCAATGCTGTACGTTTGACGGACGAGAAAATACAGACGAGTCACAAAAATAATTTTTACTCCGAATCGAACATGCTGTTTTTTTTTTCAAACGTCACAAATAATTTTTTAAACAATTTCAAACGTTCCAAATCATATAAAAAGATTTAAAAGTAATACCCTTGTTTAATATATATACAAGGGTAATACCTAAGTATGTAATTATACAGGGTGTCCCAGGCACCCATTGCACATCATTGTTTCACAATGATGAACTTTTGAAATAGAGAGATGCCATGCCAAATAGACAGAGATGCCAAATAGACACATGCCTTCTCTTTATGTCACAGTGGCTGTGGTAATCACTAAATTTGACGTTTAGGCTATACAAATTTTTTTGACAGGCAGTTTTTCCTCCAAAAACTTTAAATATTTTTTTTATCAAAAACGGTTAATGTTAGGTATAATATAGTGTTTGATATCAAAATTGATAAAATTTTACAGAGAATTTAAATATGTAATAAAAATGGGGTACTTATTTAGAATAAGAAAGTTGCTGTCAACCTCTGGTATTTCTAGAAGAGCTGCCATATTGAAAATATTTTTAATCGATAGATCTCATTGTGAAACAATGATGTGGAAAAAAATCTCCGATCTAGATCTTATAGTTCTCTAGAAACTTCTAATGCACGCTCAGCCTGGGACACCCTGTATATTGAGAAACTATGGTTACGCTCGTTCAATTTGACAGTTCGTGTCAGTTTAATAATATATTTTCGTACTTTTGTGCTTAGCCGTAAAAGGCGCTTTACTTTTATGCCTAGCGTTAAAATGACTTTTTTATATTATCAATCACGTCGCAAAAACTAATACTTTTGTGACGTTTGAAAAAAAAAGTTCTTTATTAACTAATTTTAATTAATTACTGTGCAACACAATGCGCGGCTGATAGTATATGGATTTTGTCAATGAGAGATCCTCCACAAAACTGTCGACCATTCACAAATAGAGCAGCTATCCAGGGCCATTCGTTCAAGTCAGCATTGTGCCCTCCTACAATCTTTCCTTGATCTTGGAACCCATTTTTCGCACCACAGGCAGCTGTTCCCAATTCGTAAGACGCAGTGGTCGTTGTTGTTTTGCTTGTTGGTTTGGAGGCGATGGGTTTGGTGGTAACTTTAGTTGGTTTCGAAGATATCGTAGTGGTTGCCGGCACGGGAAAACCTGGACTGGGGGGATGAGTGGGCAGGGGAGGTATGGTATGGTCTGGAGGGTGGGTTGGGAGCGGCGGTGGCCAGTTTGGAATCCTAGCTGATTCTAGAAAGTTGTTGGGCTGGATTGAGGTGTTATTTGAGTCGATTTCTACAGGTGATGATGATGTTGTGTCCAGAGGTTTAGGGATACTTGAACAGCAAACGCCGAAAGTCTACAAGAAAATACTGGTTTTTAGGGTTTCTGCGCGTCTGTCTTCTAAACTGAGTAAGATTTCTTGTTACCGTACAAATGGCAAAGAAATAAACTAATTATGTTCAAAAGATTATTCAGGTATCTGATGACGATATTTAATGTGTTTTTGAAAAAAAAATTAGGCCATCTGTTCAAAAAATGCGAGAGACATTTATGCCTTGCGTTATATTAGAGTTTTCCATTTCTTAGACACAATTTTTTTGTGGTAATAATGAGGTAAGTAAATATCATTTTTTTTCAAAATTTTGACAGCTGGATGTCCTAACCCTAACAATGACCGAGAAGACTCGGCAGACTAATTGCTGTTTTATATAAGGTTACTACGCTATTGCAATTCCCCATTATTATACCTTGAGTAGTCAAACTTATCAAGCATGTCATTTTACTCCCACCAACTCAAAATAGAGAGAATTAATAATTAATATACCTGTTGTCCTTGGGCTAAGAAATAGCTGCACGTGTCGTACATTCCCAAACCCCAACCATCAAATATACCAGCTTGGACCCCCATTTTCAAATGCGGATAACATTCTTTAAAAGAAACACACGTCCCCAGAGTGCCCTTGCTCGTGTAACAAGCCCCAGTGGCAGCTAGAAGGGACGGATTCGCCAAGGGCTGAGCCAGTGGTACCGGGGGGCCCAAATTATACAGCGGATACGCATAATTCGCCTGTAGCAAGATTTGTTTTGTGTCTCGTGTGTTTTTTCTTGTCGCGTCGTTCAAATCTGAAAAAGATATTAAAACCAGTCATTTTAGTTAATAGGGACAAGGAAATTTTTGTTTATCGAAAACATAAACAAACAACATTAATAAACCAGTTAAGTGTCCGGTGTAAAAGGTTCATTGGATGGGAGTTTTTTTTCTTTTAGTCCGGGAGGCAGTGAAGATTTTCGGTACTTATTTTCCCAGTCAGCAAACGATATATTATTATTCGATAGAATTATTCTACTATTAATTAATTATATTAATTATATATAATATTACTTAATATTATATATTAAGTAATTATATTACTTCAGAAATCATTTGGAACAAATTGAAATAAAAATAAAACTTCTACACCCTGTATTTCCGAAAGTAAGCATTTTAGAACATACATTAATACTAATTTTTTTAATTATTTTTATACAGTTGGGACCACCCTGTATTTGTAGTATTCCAGCGATAAAAATAGTTCTATTATTAGTGACAGATGCAGTGCAGTTAAGAAAAAAAAAATAGTTTCGCTAATCTGTGAGAATGGGTAATATGTCAGGCAGGTAAAAAATTGGATAAAAATTATTGAAACCATTGCCCTTATTTTCGCAATGCTAAAAATTTGTCAGATGATAGTTTATATTATAATTACAGCTGCAAATATAGTCTGGCTCGTGTGGAACATCCTGAGAGCCTTCCAAGACTCGTCCAACGCTCGCCAGGCGCGCTAAATTCAGCATGTTCAGTTATACAGGTGATTGTTGTCATCTCTGTACATGTTTTTACTTTTCATACTTTATGGTAAGGAAAGGATTGGTTTAGGGCATTAAATTTGACTATGGCCAAAAACACTTTTCTCAACGTTTTGACCACAGGAATCCAGAAACAAGGTTTTAGTCCGTCCGTCATCAAAAACCTTCATTCGCCAATAACTTTGTAACTTTTTATTTTCAACTCTCTTTTTATTTCTCATCTCTCTTTTCAATGTTTGTAACGTCAAATATTTGTAATTCTTTACAAAATCGATCGTCTTGACTTTATTTTGTATCTCCCTGAGTTTTAAAGTTATAGCAATAAAAAAGATCTGGTTAAGGTAACTTGTCCTAAACTACTCTATCATATGAATGTGTTTGGATCTAGAGCGTTTTTTGAAATTAAGAGTGTTTCTCGATTTTCCTGTATTGAAAATTACGAAATATATATTATACGAGTGACAAAAATTTTCGCATCTAAGAATACGAAATATACTTACGACCTGACTTGTGAGTCTGGCGGGGCTTTCTTGATTGAAAAACTTAAGAATTTTGTGTGCACATCTAAAGTATGTTCTAGGATGTATTTCAGAAAAATATTTTAAGTTCTATAGGCTGGCTCAAAAAAGTGTGAGTGGATCGGAGTGATTTTTTAAATAGAACACCCTGTATATTATTGCATTTTTGGCTACTTTTCAGATCACTTTACATAATCCTAAGATATGAGTAAATATATTTCGATAGTTTCAGAGATATAAATAAATAAATAAAAATTATATATTTTTCAGTCTTTCTAAAAAAAAAATACCGTATGATCGAAAAAAACGGCGTCCAGTTGGCTGGGAAATGAACATCGATGACATTTCCCATATAAATTTACATATAAAATGACAGCGATCTTTATTCCATAGCCATCGCTGACGCCGTTTTATCTCGATCATACGGTATTAAAAATACAAGAACTGCCCTGAAATCAAAACTATATTAGGTATTTACTTTAGATGGTCGGCACTTACTTTGCTGCAAATATGGTAATTTTAAATCATACAGGATGTTCAAAATTTTACGCCAAACTTTCTAAAATATAAAATAATTTTTCTTCGTTTTTTTAAATGGAACACCCTGTATATTATTTTTTCAATAGATGGAGAATTAAAAAATGAACATTTTTTGTATTTAGAATATTTCAAAATTTTTAATGGTTTCGCAGATATTCGCGGTTTTAGATTTCATATGGCATTTTGAATAATAATTTTTTATGAAAGCCACCCAATAATTTTTCTCTCGTATTTTACTGTTGAGAGAGCCATATGAAATAATACTGCGTGTATCTGCAAAACCATTAAAAATTTTGAAATACTTTTACTTTTTTAATTCTCCATGTAATAAATATATAATATACAGGGTGTTCCATTAAAAAAAAAACAAAGAAAAATTATTTTATATTTTAGAAAGCTTGGCGTAAAATTTTGAACATCCTCTATGATTTAAGATTACAATATTAATAGCAAATTAAGTATAGACCACCTAAAGTAAATACCTAATATAGTTTTGATTTCAGGACAGTTCTGGTGTTTGTAATAATTTGTTTAACGAAAGTTGAAAAAAATATATTTTTTACTTATTTATTAATATCTCTGAAACTATCAAAATATATTTATTCATATCTTAGGATAATGTAAAATGATCTAAGAGGAAGCCAAAAATGCAATAATATATAGAGTGTTCCATTTAAAAAAAATCCTCCCGATCCACTCACACTTTTTTGAGCCACCCTATAGAAGTTAAAATATTTTCCTGCAATGTAATTTTTAACTCTATGATCCTTGTACATACTTTAGGTTTACACTTAAACAAAATTCCCAAGTTTTTTATTCTACGAGCTACAGATGCCCGACGCACTATTGCCGGACCCTGTATATTATGTCAGCCAGACGTGTATTTTCTATGAAATAATAATTATAGTATTATTTATCATGTGACAGAGTTCACAGAGTTTCAAATTCAAAAATAAGAGCAAAAATTTTGTAATTTGTGCAATTCTCATTTGCCAATTTCGTAAATCAGCCAGACTTGCTTTTGATCATAGTTCGATAGTACCAAATAATATGTTAAATTTCAAATATGGAAAAATAAGGGTTAAGGATTTCAAAAATCTGTCAAATTTTTGAAGACTGAGTGTTATTTTCATTAATAAAACGATTCACTTTAATAAATGTCAAATATTTACGACTGGAAAAATAAGTGGACTTTTGAAGTGAAACTTCTTTACGCGCGATGAGAGTAAAAATTCAAGGCCGTGACACACGAGAGGCGTCAGGAAAAGTGGTAATGATCGGAGTTTAAGACGGAGCGTCGTAATTCGGGCCCTATGTGAGCTAGAAAGTTGAAACCCGGAATGTAGATGATATTTTGGCGACGTTTCGTGCACTATGAAACTCCATCATCGATGAATCAAATCAAAAAATCGTCCGATTTAAGGTTGATTCTCACGATACCTTCCATATCAGCTCCCTTCCGTTTCCATTCCGTTTACATAAAATATTATATCATGTAAATGAAGAGGACAATGCACACTATCCGTTCCATTTCCCTTCCGTTCCATATCCTTTCCTTCCATACATTTTTTGGCGGATAGACTGAAGCGTATCGGAAACAGTTTTGTCAAGTTCTTACATTTGTACCAGTTCTGTTAACATTTTACTGATATTTATTTATTCTTTCGCCTCTTAATTAAATCTTAAATCTATTACTTATTACCTTTTTCAAAAGATAGAAATTTTTAAAATAAAACTTTCGTAATGATATAAATTGTACAATAAAAAGTATGGAACTGATACAGAACGGAAGCTTACATACATATATCGTCAATACAATAAAAATACGAGACGAATATGGAATGGATATGGTTTGGAAACGGAATATAGTGATAATCAACCTTTAAATGGAATTTGGTAAGTCGATAGAATGGACCAAATCCAACTTGTACAATACGTGTACCGCATGGTACAAAGAATACAAGGTATGATATTGCGCAGGTTGTACGATACGTGTCAGGTGATGACAGTTATTTGACAGTACGAAACGTAAAAAGTTGATGCCGTCAATGCCGTCCGATCGCGACCAAATTTTTTCGGTATATAATAACGTCATTGAATAAGAAGACTAAGGAAGGAGCATATCAAAAAGTGCTTAGGTACACCGGATGGGCCTCAAATAGACCGGAGTTAAATTCCGGCCGGGATCATAACGTTCTAATTTTATTTAAATACTGTTGTAAACTATGATGTATTTTGTAGTACGTGGGGTAGAACTCAATAATTCTGTTATTTTTTAATCTCCGTTATTAATAAAAATTGATTGTTATTACAAAACCTCATTTAATATAAAATAATATTCTACTTTTTGAAATGTATCGGGCCCTAATTGTACCTAAAAGTAATATATTTTTAATAATATACCATATTGTAAACTATTTAATATTTCAGTCACTTAAAAATTTAATTTGCATTGAATAATTGCCTACAATTAAAGGAAATTTGAGCTATATAATCCTTGATGGGCATATTCTGGGTATGCAAATACTTCCTCTAAATTTTGGGTTTCGTTCAACCGATTTATTCTCAAAACCTGCAACATATAAAAAGAATATATAATTTCAGTTAATTATAATGAATTTCATAAATGATGGAATTACTTCCACTATGTATATTATATGGAGTCACTTACTATCGAAAAGTTGTTCCATTACATTCATCAATTTTTGGCATTTTCTACTTTTCGATGGGAAACCATACTATTTTACAGTCTTTTTCGATAAATGTAATAATGTCACTGTTGTGGTTAATTTTCCATATTTCCATCTAGATTTACTACCTTTATACAAAATCAGAGGCAATGAACATGAAAATTATTTACCATAAACATCGCAAACTAAAAACCTAATAAACAATTTTATAGGTACCGAATATAGAAATAAATTTAGTATTCTTACCAAGTTAAACGAACTAAAAAGTCTTAAAAATAAACAATTCTTAACCATAACCCCAAAAAATGCAGATCTCCTGTCAACTTCCTTTATTTTTTATTTATTCCTCATTTTCCTAGTGACGTCACAGGTGGTATGCGCGAACTGAACGAAATTGGAGCCGCTATCGATCATACCTTGTATTCTTTGTACCATGCGTGTACCGTGTACGATACGTGTGACAGTTAGTTTTGACGTAAGAAACGTCAAAAGTTGATGCCGTCCGATCGCGACCAAATTTGGTCGGTATACGTAATAACGATTTGATGTTGAAGAAAAATGTGGGTCGATTTCGGCATAATTGAGGACGGGCTACAGGATAACGCCCTGACGTTTCGAACCGATGCCTCTAAATGGACGAAATCATCAGGATTTTCCTGAGTTATGGGTCGATTGGAACCAAACTCGGCACGTGGATAGAGGTACCCGAATGGAGTCCTCCGACAGAGAAACGGCAGTCAGAAGAAGTTTCACTTCAAATATGCGCACATAGTGCACACACAATTTCTAGCCGACCGTACCAACAGGCCAACAGGTATGGCTATTAAGATCGACAAAAAAAGGTTTTTTAATTTCACTCAAAATGAGTTATTTGGGGCATAAATGACCTAAATACAAAATATTTTTATGGTGTCGGTCTGTCTGTCTGTCCGTCTGTCTGTAACAACGATAACTCCAAAACTGCTAAACCGATTTTAACTAAATTTGGCACAAAAATACTGTTGCACCCGAGAATCTGGCCATTAGTTTTTGGTGGGGGTGGGGGGTTGGTAAGGGGGTATGGAAGGGGGTTAAAAATTTTAAAAAATCGTAACTCCAAAATTACAGTAGCTAGCGAAACGCGGTTTTCAATTTAAGATTAGGAATAATATTTGCAACAAAATTTGTAATAACATCAAAATCCGTCCAAGTCGCAGTTCTTGAGATAATTGAAACTAAAAGAACTGCCTACCAACTTTTTATTAACATAATATGTATTTTAGTATAGGCGGCTATACGTGCCTCCCGGCTCCAATTTTTTAATTTTATTTAGAAAACCTATCCGAAAACTTTAACCAGACTCATAAATTGTCATTTAATGTCACCATGCGAACAAAATATTATATATTCACCCACTGGAAAAATAAATACAAAAGAATTTCACTGCCTCTTGGACTATTTATGGGATATGGAGTCATTATTGGCAAAGGTGAATGTTCTTTGCGACCTTGACAGTGAAGTCGGCCGGACAACTAACTCAAAGAACCAATAATCACAATAAAACAACACATTAATATTCTCTATCAGATTGCAGGTCATCCGTGTTAGGTACAAACATTTATTTTTCTTTATCGCTAATACACTTGGGAACTAAATTGAAAAATCTTGTCTGGGTGGCTGATAAAATCTCGATCGTTTATATGGCATCAAAAACAAATAATAAATCAACTACATGAGAAATTTACATATTTATAGGTGGGCTGTTTTTATTAATGTCACCGTTAGATACCTCGTCTCAATCAATTCAATGATCCGTAGCAGTATAGTTTAATGACTCCTAAATCATTTACATAGTTATTAAAAAAAAATTTAAGAAACGTTCCTTTGCGCGATACATCACTTAAAATCAAATCTATCGAGATAAAATAATCAATTTTTATTATAAACCAACTTAAACTAAAAACAAAAAAAAATGATTTACCTGCAGCATCGGTAGTAACTGAATCCAAATCCTCCAAATTCGAACTTTGCGTACAGACGCACAAGAAGTTAATCACAAAAACGCACAGGACAGTACGTATCACAGGGGAGTACATGATTATGATTTGAACAGGTAAATGGGAGACCGGACAGGTATCGCCGACCGGTCAGCACTGATAGTGTGTCCATTTTACAAAGTCGCTCCTTTAAAACATGCTTGATGAGTTAAGTCCCCCCTCTCCCCTCCTCTGCGGTACCGTATAGGAATAATTTTGCGACCAAATGGCCAAAGGATGTTGATCTGGTCGAAGAGGATTGATCGAGATAAAAAAGACACGTCTTTTTTTTTGTTAATTAAAAAAATCGAATCTTTTTGTTTGATCTGTCTTGAGACTCTTGAGTAACCCACGCAATTTTGTCTTAAAATAAAAAATGACGTTATAATCCAAATGTTAAAAAGGTCAAAGGGTTTTTTGTGCCATCCATCCTGCGACCACCGCTTCACCAATTGTGATGATTTTTTTTTAAATTAGAGGTATATACAGGGTGTCTCAGGCTGAGCGTGCATTAGAAGTTTCTAGAGAATTACAATATCTACTTAGATCGGAAATTTTTTGCACATCATTGTTTTACAATGAGATCTACAGATTAAAATTATTTTCAATATAGCGGTACTTCCGGAAGTTGACAACAACTTTCTTATTTTAAATGGGCGCCCCCATTTTTTATTACATATTTAAATTCTCTGTAAAATTTTATGAATACTGATGTTAAAAACTCTATACCTAACATTCGCCGTTTTGAGAAAAAAAATATTTGAAATTTTTGGACCAAAAAAACTAGGTACCTGTCAAAAAAATTTGTATAGCCTAAAAGTCAAAGTTAGTGATAACCACAACCACTGTGACATAAAGAGAAGACATGTGGCTATCTATTTCAAAAATTAAATTGTTCAAATGTCATATAATAATGGCGGTAGCTGTCATGGAATTGAACGATTAAAAAATTATCATAAATTATTTTTTTCAAATGGAAACAGACTTTTTTATTTCACTAGTGAAAAGGTTTTTCAATTCGTTACTTTTTAACTGTACATGTTCCTATACCTAAAATAAATCGTTTTTAAGTTATTTAAGATTTAGTTTGAAAACGTATATTTTTTTTAATTTTATCTAGCTTCCATTGACATTAAGTGTCAAACAGTCACACAATTTATTTCCATCTGTCAGAAAACGAACTATTTGAATTTCCCATATTATAAATACTGCCTGCTTAAGAATTTAAAAAGTGTATTTATATAAATATATCTCGTATTTTCGCTCTTTAGCGATATCTAATAATTGATATTATTAATAAATACCGTATGATCGAAAAAAAACAGCGCAAACTTGGCCTGGAAATAATCGATAACATACTGCTTTTTGAACAAAGTGTTATCATATCACTTGACGTTTAAAGTCATAGGCTACTATAAATAAATAAAAATATACGTTTTAAAACTAAATCTTAAATAACTCCAAAACGATTTATTTTAGGTATAGAAATATGTATAGTCAAAAAGTAACTAGTGAAATAAAAAATTGGGTTTCCATTTGAAAAAAATGATTTATGATAATTTTTTAGTCGCTCAATTCCATGACAGCTGCGGTCATTATTATATGACATTCGAACAATTTAATTTTTTCAAATAGATACAGGGTGGCGCAACTCATTCGCCTCGGTTGATTATGCGAAAACGGAAAGATGTAGAAACAAAATATTTTATGGGTATATGTGGGGAGGTAATGTGCACAATTTAAAATTATTTTGAATTGTACAGGGTGTTTCAGAACTAAGATCCATATTTTTTATTTTCTTATGGAACACCCGGTATTTTATTTCATTTTTGGATTCTTGGGCCCAAAAAAAGTTATTTATTATAAGGGTTAGATATGTTTAAAATCTTTGGTTTTTGAGATATTGAAAGATATTTAAATTTGCATGCTACAATAGAATAAATTATTAACACCCTGTACATTACTTTTCAAAATTAGTTCTTGTGCTTAGTTTAAAGGTAGAGAAATAAACTTTATAGAAAAATGTTATTCCTTCCTTAAATGTATACAGGGGTATCAAAAATTGCTGGTCTATTTTAAATATTTATTTTACATAAAAACTTCGTTATTTTAAATGCAACACTATGTATTTTTTAAATAAGTCGAAGCAGATTTAAATGCTCTTTCAAACTATATTAGGGTTTCCTATACCTATCTGGCTCAGATTTTGAATAAAAAGCGATTTTTCAATAAAATTGTAATCAAGATGGCAAGTGTTGTCATGGCAAGTTTCTAGTGACAGTTAGTAGCTATTTTCAAAATCAAAATTAGTGTATGGACTTATTTAAATTTATACCAGTTTACTTTTATTTAATTTACCTACAATAGTTTAATAAATAATATTTATTAAATGTGTTTATTATTTTATCAAGAAAAACGAAGAAGTAGTCTTGAATTATTTTACGATGATTTGTGTTCCGCCAGCAGATACTGCTTTATTTTTCTTGATAAAATAATGAATACTTACTTATTATACTATTGTAGGTAAATTTAAGTAAACTGTTATAAATTATAAATAATAATGTCCATAAACTAATGTCGACTTTGAAAATAGTTACTAACTGTCACTAGAAAATTGCCATGGCGACACCTGCCATCTTGATTACAATTTTATTTAAAAATCGCTTTTTATTCAAAATCTGAGCTAGATAGGTATAGGAAACTCCAATATAGTTTGAAAGAGCATTTGAATCTGCTTCGATTTATTTAAAAAAATACAGGGTGTTACATTTGAAATAACAAAGTTTTTATATAAAATATATCCTTAAAATAGATCAGCAACTTTTGATAGCCCTGTATAAATTTAAGGAACCAATACCATTTTTCAGTAAAGTTTATTTCTCTACCTTTAAACTCAGCATAAGAATTAATTCTAAAAAATAATGTACAGAGTGTTAATAGTCTATTCTATTGTAGCATGCAAATTTAAATATCTCAAAAACTAAAGATTTTAAACATATTTAACCCTTATAATAAATGTCCTTTTTTGGGCCCAAGAATTTAAAAATGAAATAAAATACCAAATGTTCCATAAGAAAAAATTTAACTTTGATATGGATCTTAGTTTTGAAATACCCTGTATATTTCAAAATAATTTTAAATTGTGCACATTGTCTCCCCACATATACCCCTAAAATATATTGTTTCTACATCTTTCCGTTTTCGTATAATCAACCGAGGCGAATGAGGTGCGTCACCCTGTATAAAAATTCATAAAATTTTACAGAGAATTTAAGTATGTAATAAAAAATGAGGACACCCATTTAAAAATAAGAAAGTTCCGGTATTTCCGGAAGTGCCTGCGCCATATTAAAAATATTTGATGTGCAAAAAATCTCCGATCTAGATATTGTATATAGTTCTCTAAAAACTTCTAATGCATGGTGTCTGGGACACCCTGTATACCGTAGGCTCGAAAAAAGTGTCAGTGATGAATGAAGATCGCTGTCATTTTATATGTAAAATTATGTGGGGAACGTCAACATTTCCCAGCCAACTTGGCGCCGCTTGCAGTTTTTATACGTGTATTAAGTTAGCACAACCACTTTAAAAAAAATGTATGAAACTATGTGGAATAATTGCCGTAAATTAGCCGTAAATTTGCCGTGAAAACGAAAAATTTGCCGCTCTTCGCTAAGTATGTTAAATCGATGGTTGTGCTAAGTTAATATTAAGTTAGCACAACCACCATTGGAAATCAGTGAAGGGACATAGTTAGAAATTTTATAGTATAGCAGGAATTTGCCGTTTTTGCCGTTCTTAGATACAATTAAAAAAATATCCTCCGATCATTCTCTATCCCCCTGCAACAAAAAAATATAATAGCGTCAAGGTCACATATTAAGTTAGCACAACCATTCCAGTAAACGTTAAGTAAAATGTCTGAAAGTAGGTGGAACAATTGCCGTAAATTAGCCGTAAATACACCATGCAAACCAAAAATTTGCCGCTCTATTATTTGTTTACAAAATCGATAATTAACGTAAACAATAACGTTAAATTAGCGCGATTTTTCTTAAAATTCACTAAATGGGATCAATAATAACTTTTTAGTACAAAAGGAATATGCCGTAAATAAGCCGTGAAATCGAAAAATTTGCCGCTCTTTTATTTCTTTATAAAATCTACAGGGTGATTCAGGCTTCCGAAAAAGCTCTGTGTTAGGTTTTTGGTTTCTGAATTTTATTTTATTTTTTTATATAATATGGGGGCAATGGTAAGGCACATTTTGAAAATATTTTTGTCAGCATACAGGGTGATTCAAACATATTTTCAAACCAAAGTTGCATATTTTTAAATGGGATACTATATATTTTTTTACCTCAGTGGATTTGCCACTAAATTTCTGTTTCAAAATACCCCAATTTCATATACTATACCTAATGGTTTTTGAAATATAACCGTTTTTAAACTAAATTTATTGCTTATTTAAAGAGTTCTCTGAAAATTCTAAATTCGAAGAATTTAAAAAAAAATTAACAGGAAGTACTGAATAATTGTGTCTTCTTCAAAATTCAGTCTTCCAGAATTTGCAATCTTGTTTGATATATACAAGGTGAGTCAAAACTAAGTGTTGTATTTTCATCTACTATTTTAAACGGAACACCCTGTATTTTGTGTCATAATCGAAATAAAAGAGCGGTAATTTTTTTGATTTCACGGCTTATTTACGGCATATTCCTTTTGTACTAAAAAGTTATTATTGATCGCATTTAGTGAATTTTAAGAAAAATCGCGCTAATTTAACGTTATTGTTTACGTTAATTATCGATTTTGTAAACAAATAATAGAGCGGCAAATTTTTCGTTTGCATGGTGTATTTGCGGCTAATTTACGGCAATTGTTCCACCTACTTTCAGACATTTTACTTAACGTTTACTGGAATGGTTGTGCTAACTTAATATGTGACCTTGACGCTATTATATTTTTTGTTGCAGGGGGATAGAGAAACTATGTTCTTTCACTGATTTCCAATGGTGGTTGTGCTAACTTAATATTAACTTAGCACAACCATCGATTTAGCATACTTAGCGAAGAGAGGCAAATTTTTCGTTTTCACGGCAAATTTACGGCTAATTTACGGCAATTATTCCACATCATAGTT